AATTATATAATAATCATGGAGCATTTTTTCCCAGCAAAAAAACCAAGCAGAAACACAGTTAGGAGGTTTAGAGGTTACGTCTATTACAGTTATTATGGTAACAGTGTTGAGCCAATCAAATCGTTTGTTTACCCTGCACGACCAATGCAGTGAGCTAACCAGAGAAGAGGTGACAACATGGCTTGCTCCAAGATAAGAAAAGTTGATGCAGAAAACCGCTGTTTTAAAGATGAATGGACAGAGAAATTTACATTCATTCTTCCAGCAGGCAGTTCAAAACCTGTTTGTCTCATATGCTCTGAAACGGTCGCATTAATTAAAAGTGCCAATGTGAAGCGCCACTATGAAACAAAGCACGGCTCTTTTGAGCAAGTTATCCGCTGAAGTCCGAGCAACTTGCACTTCAACTGAAAGCCTCTATCTCTCTAGGTTTGACTAGGCTTCCATATAAAAGCAAAAAAAAAAAGTTGTTAGGCTCTGTTTGCACTTCTAAAGTGTACTTTGTTCTGAGGTTTCTTCATCCATCCATCCATCCATTTTCTTCCACCTATCCGGGGTCGGATCGCGGGGGCAGCAGCTTCAGAAGGGAGGCCCAGACCTCCCTCTCCCCAGCCACTTCTTCCAGCTCCTCCGGGGGAACTCCAAGGCGTTCCCAGGCCAGCCGAGAGACATGGTCCCTCCAACATGTCCTGGGTCTTCCTCGGGGCCTCCTCCCTGTTTTCTGAAATAAAGGTTTTAAAATTATTTGCCTGGGACTACTTTTAAATATGGTAAAATAAAAAGTTGTTTACTATAAAGTGTCATTTGTTAATAGTGAAAATATGAACATATCAGATCAAGACCATAAAAGACAAAAGTCGGACTTTTGTTTGGACCTTTTACAAGGCGGAAAGTTTAGCAACTGGACCTCAGTGACTTTTAATTGAATACCCCTGTCATAAGCCTTCTCCAGACACATGTAGACCAAAGAGGCAAACTGCCCCAACCCCCTTAGCAACTCCCCAAGGGTAAAGATCTGGTCCACTGTTCCACGACTAGGACAGAAGCCACAATGCTGCTCTTGAGTCTGAGGGTCGACGATTGATTGGAGCTTCCCTTCTAACACCCTGGAGTAAACTTTCCCGAGAAGTGCAAGACGTGCTATCTCACAATAGTTAGAACACACTCTCTGGTCCCCCTTTTTAAAATTAGGTACTACCACAGGAGTTGTCCCAGTCCTCCATACAATGTTGAAAAGATGTGTCAACCATGACAGCCCCACAACATCCAGAGCCTTCAGCATCTCGGGGCAAATCTCATCCAACCCTGGCGCCCTGCCACAGAGGAGCTTTTTGACTGCCTTGGTGACCTCTGCTATGGTAATGAACTTGTCTTCCCCCAAGTCTTCAGACTAGGCCTCCTCAAAGGTGGACATGGAGGGTGGATTGAGGAGATCCTCAAAGTGTTCCTTCCACCGCTCAGTCCAGATCAGCAGTTCCACACCCCAAACCAAGTACAGTCTGGGACAGGGAACAGTTCCCTTTTCTGAGTTGCCAGATGGTTTCCCAGAACTCCTCAAAGCAACTGAAAGTCCTTCTTCATGGCCTCACTGAATTCCTCTCATATCAGAGTTTTTGCATCTGCATCCACCAAAGCCACAACCCCCTTTACCAACCTGTACCCATCAGATGTTTTAGGAGTCCTTTGGGAAAACCAAGTCCTGAAGGCTTTCTTCTTCAGCTCAACAGCTTCCATCACCACTGTTGTCCACTAACAGGTCCTTTGGTTGCTGCTGCAAGAAGGATGACCTTCAGGCCACAGCTCCTAAAAGCTGCATCTGCAATGGAGACCCTGAACATGGCCCATTTAGATTCCACGTCCCCGAACTCCCCCGTGACATGTAAACAACTAACCCAGAGATAAAAATAAAAGTTAAAGAAAAGAAAATGGGATTATGTGTAAATCTACTAGGAGCAGGTCGTCCTCACCAGTTTTCTGTTTGACAAATTTTTATGACAAACCATATATTCGATGAACAGTGGCTGAGATGAGAGAGTAAGCCAGGTATCAGGGTTTTTTTGATTAATTTTTTTAGGATTGAAATGATTCTCACCTGTTAAGTTTCTTTTTAATTGGTTTAGTTTTGGCTGCAGTTGATCAGACTTTGTCCCTGTGCGTTTATAGAAAGGTAATAGTAGTTAAGACAAAGAAGGATCTTCCTTTTTCTGTTTAAGATATCTTGAAATTGTATCTAATCAAACAATCTCTTCATGTGGCCCTCAGTCCAGTAAGTATCCCCCTCGCCCCCCTCTCTCAGCCTGTCTTCTTTCTCGGGTCACACACCTGGCAGAGAGCCATGGCTATCAGGCACAAGGGTGTGTGTGTGTGTGTGTGTGTGTGTGTGTGTGTGTGTGTGTGTGTGTGGGTGGCATCAGCTCAGTGGAGGTGCTAATGTTTTAATGTGCCTTTCATGTGGAATCTTTAATTAACATGGTAAGTTTCATGCCTAATTTAGTGATTACATGCGAGATAAATGAACTAATGAACATCTCAGGATGTTCCAGTTCTTTGACACCTTTGTGCTTTTTTTAACTCTTGCAGAGAATTTCTAGCTGATGGTTTAACCTTCGCCCTCTTTCTCTGCCTAATTTGCGGTGAAATATTGAGATGTTTTATTGAGCCAAATTGGACTGATAGTGGCTGGAGTCAGTTCACATGGAAACACAAAGCATTGAAGCACCAGTTAAGCACTAAACTGCTCTCTGTTTTGCTCCTGAAATAGAAGTTGACATTTCTTCAACATTAGTGTCGTTCTCTGTGTAAAACCATTTCAAATTGTTTTATTCTTTACAAGGTTTTTTTTCTGCAGTCCAAATACAGATATCACCATGGCTCTTAACAGTTTTCCATTCACTTTCATCTGAACAAATGGTCTGAGAATTAAAAATTTACAGTAAATCTTATTTTCAAGATAGTATCTGACTTGGCTTTGACTCTTTGAGACTGGTTAAAAACTAAAAAATGTCAGAAAATATGTAAATGTTTCTTTGCAGTCTCACTGAATTCTGAACTTTTGCAATCAAATCAGATACAGTTTTTGAAAAACACAACCTTTTTTTTTTTACTTCCAGGCTAACAAGATTTTTTTTCAGGCTAACAAGATTAATAATCCAACATATTCTGCTCTTGCTTAGTATATCAGTCTTAAAACAAAATCAAAAATACTTTTTGTTTGCATTAGAAAGCATGTTTTTACTTCACATTCGAAACACGGACTGGAGACAAATTCTGAGTTCAGATTTGAATATTTATTTGCAGATAAATAAAGCTATACACAACATTTTGGCTAGACTAAAACAGACCTGAACAAGATTTGGTGAATAATTTTAAAAAATAGCACATATTTATACAGTCCTCTTCTGGGCCGGCCACTCCCCTGGGGCAAAGGATCACATTGATAGAGGAAACCCTGCTTATTGAGTGGCTGCCCCCTCATACAGCGCTCCTGCAATCTGATGAAAACAAACTGTCTGCACTGCTAAAACTGTTCATCTAACCAAGTTTTAAAAGCTTATATCCAGCCAAAAAAAAATTATTTCATCTTGTTTTGAGACTGATTTATTAAACAAGAACAGAATGTGTACGATTAATAATATTGTTAGCAGAACACGTAAGATTATTATCTTTTTGTTAGCCTGGAAATTTGATTCAAATTAAGTGAAAAAAATCTGACAATGGAGTAAGACAATTACATTTGGTAACATTCTTGAAATAGGAAAAAATTTGAGCAAAATGAAGTGATTTCAAGGATCTTACCAAGTGAAATTGTTTTTTTCCATTGGCAGATTTTTTCCATTTAATTTGAGTATGTAAATTCACCTTAAATATACAACCCGAGATGACCCATATCACTAGTTACTATATACAGAGTGCACACTAATATTATCATTACACATTAGATTATCAAAAATAGTTCAGACATCTCAATAAAAACATTTACAGTATATGTGAAGTGCATTTATAAATCTGTACAAACAGAATACATTTTCCTTCAATTGGATCTAAGATTGTAATGCTATGTTCACACTGAGCACATTTTGAGCTGCAGGAGCGGCCGGTTTACATGCAAAGTCTATGGTGGACGCACGTGTAGGGGTCTCGCGGCGCATCTAGAGCATTTAGCATGGCGCTCAAGGAAGCGGTAGGTGCGGTTTGAGCATTGATGTGCATGCAGTGCATCCAAAACAGCCAACACTCGAGTTCAAAATTCTGAACTTTTGCTGCTCTACGCGCTGCGTCAACCAATCAGAGCATCATATTTCCACATGACGGTTTCATGAATGTTGCCCACTAACCTGAAACAGACGTGCAGGAGCTCTTTAGCTGAAATCAACCTTCTTTAGTTGATGTTCTGGCTGGAGATATCAGCACCGATGCGGGTCAGTGGCTCATTAAATTGACCGCTGTATTAAACTGAGCTTGGGGGGAAAAACAGTTTGTCAGCTCGCAGTTCCTGGAGTGGCGAAACTCACTGAACAAACCACCTCTAAATTATTTGGTTAATTAATTATCATGGTGAGCGCAACGTTCACTTGCTCTCAGTAAATAAAGCAAAGCCATTTTTTAAATTTCATCTGCCATTAAAGACAGACTGGAAAAAAACCACGCTCCTCCCTCTTCAGACACGCGTCTAGTCTCTGTCCCAGTCTGAAAGTAATGCGTTCAACTTGAGGCGTTGGGTGCGTTTTAGATGCTCAAAACGCTTTTGGTTTGAATATAGCATGACTTCGTTAGATGGACAGTTTTTGCAGTGTAGAAAAGCTGCTGTGCTAATCTTTAAACATAAAAAAATTCAAGAACCAGGACACGAGGAAGTGAAGAACCCCCACAAACATTGTGAAATCATGTGGATGCTGTTCTGTATCTAGTGCTAGACGGTCACCTCACCTTTACTGAGAACATACTGCAGGTACGCACAGATGTCAGAACTGTGTTGTTGTTTATGTCTGCTGTCTGTTCAGGGCTGGTTCAGTCCAGGCCAGGTCTTTGTTTTGGACGAGTACTGTGCTCGGTATGGTGTTCGGGGCTGCCACCGCCACCTGAGCTACCTGAAGGACTTGATGGATTATTCGGAGAAGAGCGCCCTGGTGGACCCCACACTGCTGCATTACAGCTACGCCTTCTGCGCCTCTCACATCCATGGAAACAGGTAAACAGATCAAACCATCACTCTGTGTCTCTGTAAAGCAGTTAATAACAAACCCACGTTCATCACTGTAGACAGAAACACACGATTCTGCTTCACATACTGTTTCTGCTGGCTGGAGGCCTGGGAGGGATCACAATCTGTCAATGCGTAGCTTCCATAGTGTTGAAGAAACCACCCCAACTACCAGCAGATACTCAATGTCAGAGTTAAACTATCAACAGATACTCACATTAACTGAATTTTAGATCCAGTCTTGTGTTTTACACTTTGTGACCAAATTGCAGTCATATGCTTTAAACTGAGAAGTCAGTGTGTCTTATCAATATGGCGCCCTTTTTTCTGCATAAACAAAGCATGTTTTCTAATGTTGGACGTAAAAGGCACGTGTAACCAGGAAGTTGGGTTTATGTACATGTGACTTTAAGAGGGTTCTAGAAAGATACTAGAAATCACAGCTGAATATCCCGCACTGAAGACACTTGTTGTTCACGCAGGAACTGATTTCATGAAATGAGTCAGAAATTCTGAAAAAGGATTTCATTCAGTTGCTGAATGCAATTCAGAATCTTAGGGTGGATGTGTTCATCAGCGGACCCATCCCCACAGCCCGAGAGGGTGATGAAAAATTTAGTAGATTGTTTGCTCTCAAACAGTGGCTCAAAGAAACCTCTGGTTAATAACTCTGTGGGCTTTATCAACAACTTCAGCCTTTTTTGGAGAAACAAACCTCTGTTTAAGGAAGTTGAATTTAGTTTGAATCACTTTAGAGATGAGTTGCTGGCTTCAAACATGGCCTACTTCCTGAACCAAGTTCCCGTTAGAAACAGAAAACGAGAGTAATCAGCTGATATCGGAGAAGCCTCAAGGACAAATGCAGCTGACTGAGACAACGATGGAACCTGAAGTTCAGACGAATGATAAGGAGACTTCTCCAGAACCGGAACCATGACTGGACTGTACATCAGCCAAAATGGTGCAACCAAAAGAGGAGTTTACCCAAACTGCAACTGGACAACTGAACACCTCTTCCTCTTCACCAAACGACCCCAAACTATCAACATGAGGATGTAGAACCTACACCCAGAAGACCATGGATCAGAAATATACTGGGATGATGACAATATTTATTTCTTGGAGAAATAAAAATTTTATTTCTAGGGTTGAGAAATGTTTAGAAGCATTCTGTTATGATGAACAGATGTTAGAAAAGTATTAAGCATTTCAGATAATTTGTTTATAGTTTAAATTTACATAATCTATGTTATGTCGAGAGGGAATTGAAGGCAATTGTGTGTGCTCTTAACTGTATTTTGTAACCAGGAAGTTGGGGTTATGTACATGTGAGGGTGCTTCTTCATTTATTATTTTTTAGGGCATCCAAAGCTGCTTTTTTTAAAGACTATTTCTTTTTTAGGCACAAATAAACAAAATCTTAATTATTTTTGTTGAATGGGAGTCTTAATCCCTGCAGTCAGAAAAATGTTTTAGGTTGAGAAGAGGACTACATCTTTATTAACCCTCATGTTTGTTCTGTTCACCGACATGAACAACGGTTTATTTATTTATTTTAGTTCTCCACTTTGCTCCCAGCAGCTACAACTTAACTCTGTATCCAATAATTAGTGGGATTTGAGTTTTCTCCCTATGTCTTCTCATTTAGTCAATTAGAAAGTTGAAAGATGAGCTTTTTTTTGTTAATCATCCTGTATGAAGTGGCAGAGGGTGGGAGGGATCAGTGAAGCTGGTTTTTTTGTCAGTTTGAGCTGTAATTTGAATAAATGTTCATTCAGGCGCTGCTGGGAGCAGATTAAAATAAAGCTAGTTTGGATGGTTGGCACTCGTAAAGGTGGGAAGAAAAAAAACACAATAGTAGAAGTCTAATTTTCTCTAGAGTATTTATTCAAAAGAGAAGTCGTCAACAAGGGAGAAGTTAACTAATACGCCCGACAAATTATAACCTTGTGCTTTTGTTCTACAAGATAAAACCTCAAATGGAGTTTAGAACTTGGTTACAAATGTATTTTTTGTGATTTGATTCTCTTTGTCTTGTTTTGCTGCGAGGCATGTGTTAGGACTTGTGAAATTTCAAGCAGGATTTTTAATCTGCTGCAGAAAGTCTCCAGTTTCATTCGATTCATTTAGTTTCAGCTTTAATTGAATTTGTGCCAAATCTGAACAGAAGTCATCGCAGAAAGACGGAACCAGTTCAGCTCAAATCTGATGCAGATTCAGTGGTTTCTTAAAGCGTTTTGCCTCATATTCTACAGTTAGCTCGTTAATGAATCGGACTTGTTATTTCTTACTTTTCAAACACCTGAAAGGTTGAACAAAACATGACCAAAACAGAAAAACGAGCAAGCAAAATAAAAAACAAGTAGTTATGAAATGGCAGAGCAACAACATGATTCAGCTCTCAGTTGTGATGCAGAGCAGGTCCAGATGATCAGCACTTTCAGGGTTTGGCAATGTTGACACAAAAATGTATCATAAATAATTGTGACATTTAATTCAATTCAATTCAACTCAGTTTATTTATATAGCACCAAGTCACAACATACGTTGTCTCAGGGCTCTGTACATAAAACAGAACAATCTGAAGAAGAAACCAGCAGATTGTGTTGAATCACTTCATCACAGTCTCCCATCCTGAGCAAACGTGGAGAGGAAAAACTCCCTGCTAATCAGGAAGAAACCTCCAGCAGAACCAGGCTCAGGACAGGCGGCCACCTGCCATTTAGCTGGTAACAATTACTGTGACAAATAATAGATGACAATAGTCGACATGGTCTTGGTCTGCCTTTTCTGGCTTTCCTGGTTTATGTTTCAGGTAAAATAAATGAGTTCGTAGAGTTGGGCTTAGCTGCTCCATGCTGTGTCACACTGCACTAATTGGAGTAATTACAAAGTGGCAAATATTTGTTGGCAGTTTTATTGCTGATTAATTGCAAATGATATGATTTTGCCCAACCCTGCGGTTGTTATAAAATAAATCAACAAAACAAAGAAATAAAAAATAATAACGACTACTTATTTTTTCTTTTTGATTTTCTACCTGGATTACTGAGATGCATCAGGACAAAACAGAGAAATGATCAGTTCAGTTCTTATTTCCTCCACTAAACTGAATATTTAAGTTGTGAAGGAAGGAGCACACCTGAGCAGGTAGAAGGATGTTGAGTCTGATGTGAGATCAGGATTAGAGGAGGAGGGTGCTCTCCTCCTCCTCCTCCTCCTCCTCACCTGTCAGCTCTGATCTGCTCCTCTCCGGCTCATCAGCACCACGCTGGCTCTGAATGTGAAAGGCACTTTAACCTCCCCCAGCCCCGGCTCAGCGCACAGCCAGCTCCTGTCTCCAGAGGAGCGATGGGGAGGAGGAAAGTGACACTTCAGAAGGCCCGCCGCTCAGCCTCATCTTCTTTCCTCACCTCGTTAGGTGAAGTGGCGTCCACACCAAGTACTCTGCCACGCTGCTCTATGAGCTTGACTCGTGATGACTCCTGTCAGCTCCCATCAGCACTAAACAGTCAGAGGGTTTGGTGGCTCACACCGGCGGATATGATGCTTATCCTTTTCAGTCAGGAGGAAACACATCAGAGACAAACATCCTTCAAAGATCAGGACCTGCACAGGGAGCAGCCTCAGAGGATCAGCTCATCCACGTGCCTGAAGCCTAACAAGCTCTGTAGCTGTTTCTCCTCTCTGTCCTCGGAGCAAACTACACACGGTGTTTCTCACAGCTCACACTGCATTTAGCCTCTCACCAGCCCAAGATCACTTCCTGCTGTGATCTGATTCACCGGGACCTAAAGCTGGGACTTTATCATTTGGAGACTCTAGTCAGCTTTGTTTGTTTTGATCAGAGGAAAAAACGTCCTTCCAAAACAACTAAACCGATCTGAGTAACCACAGTCACACCATGTGAGACGATGTTTCAGTTCTGTTTGAAAGATTTGTAATGTTAAACTCTGTTATAATGATGCACTTATATGGAACATTAAGACTTGTGGGATCAATTTGTATCTGATTTGTTTTACACACAGTAGCTTCTTGACAAATTTATATACTTATTATGTAAATTTGTATTGAGTTGGTATATCTCTGCACTCCCTGTTTATAATGAACAATCTAAGTCATCCAGGGGTTTTGAATACTTTTTGTTGGCAGTGTATAAATAAATATACATGTAGACCTAGCACAAAATAAGTAAATTAATATTTGGTAGATTATTTATTTGTTGTAACAATGCTTCTTGACAATCAGTCTTAAATCAGTCAATTGATTGGCAGCACCAGACGCTCAAAACAAGAGTCAAAAGAAATAATAAAATAATCAGTTTGACAATCCACATACTAAGTTCTACTGCTCATCCCACAAATGCGTGTTCCTTACAAATGTGACACCATTTAAAAGGTAAATTAACAGGCTTTTCACCCCTACAAGATTTATTGTCGAGAAGCATTTTTGAACTGATTTACCAAACACTAATTTACTTTATTTTTTTCTTAGTGTGTGTGTGTGTATACTGTATATATAGTCTTTTTTTTGGGGGGTGCAACAATACATGTACCTGCATCGAACAGTGCTTTAGGTTCAATACACACTTGTATCGAACAATACAAATTTTTTTAATTTATTTTATCAACTTGTCTTCTGAAGATGCTCTGTGTTAAAGGATCAGTGGATCTGTGTTCGACTACTCCACCTAGGCTGCATTTTTGAGCGCAGGTCCACTGAGAAACTTGCTGTTTCAGCAACATTTAATTTAAAAACTGTACTTTTGAGGTTAAACAAATGTTCATAATTATTTTAAATAAATTACAAGTTAAAAGGGGCATGGAAATTTCTATTTTTGTATCGAAAAAATATCGAACCGTGAGACTAAAGTA